ATTAATTAGGATATTTGACTTTGATCTTGGTTTTTGTTCATGCTTCGTTTCTTTTAACCTAACCGTAATTATTAATGCATCATACAGTAAATAAAAAAAATTAATGTTTGATCTCATATAGCATTCTTTGTAAGGCACATTGTCCCTGAGAGTGTCAACATCTTTAGGTTAGTTTTTGGTAAAATTTTACTTTCAATTTACTTTTATTTAATTCCTTTTAAAGCACCATCTATATTTTGATATTTGAAATAGGCCCCTTATCATTTTAGGTGGAAATCAACGTGAATTAGCTCGTGAAAGGAACTTAAAGAAGCAGAAGGAATTGAAGAAATCACAGGGAAATCAAAGTGTAGGTTTCTCTTCTGGTAAAGGGGTTTAAATCAAAATGTTCAATAATTTTACCTTTTTACAGTCATTGGTTATTTAGACGAGACTTGACCAGTCAAGCTTGCGCATCCTTGAAACTTTTTTGAAGATTTGTTGTTGTTATCATTTAAGCATAGGTTTCAGCATTTTGTTTTGATTTAAGCAAAAGCGTGTTTTACCTTAAAGTGTTAGTAGTTTACAGCAAAATATTGTAGGTCTTTAAATTAGGGAAGTTTTTACCTAACGAAAAACTAATTAGGTTTTTTAGGGAGTTAAATTAGAGAAGCGAATGGAAACTGATGCTGATATTATGAGGAGAAAACAGCAAGAAGCTGCTGCAAAGAAGGCAGCCGAGGCTGCAAAAAATGGCAATGAGAAGAAGCTGCAACATTATGACCCGCTAAAATGACGTTTTTTTCCGCATTTTGCGGCTGTACAATTTGTTCGTATAATGTTGATTTCCGTTTGAATTGTCACTGTTTATAAAAACTATTACATCGTTCAAATAAATTGGTATTATGGTCAAATATTTTAACTCTAAATTTGGAAGGAGGAGGAGTGGTATTTTTCTTGAGCGGACATCAAATAAATTTTAGCTAGTAGTAGTTGCTATCATTTTTTGGTTTAGATAATTCTGCTGAGGCTTCACTATCGTAGACGTTCTGGATGCGTTTTCCAAACGCGAGTTAGCTGTTTAGTTAATGCTAAACAGTAGGTGAAGCTTTCATAGGCATCGGCGTAAACCGTACTTTTTTTGGTGGTCGGTTGCCTCTTAGCTGCCTTTGTTTTGTTCTTTTTTTTTTGGTTTTCAGTGCTTTGGTCCATATGCTCAGGTAGTTAGTGCTTTTCGGAAAGAACAGTAGGGGAGAATTTATTTTTAAATTTAACTAAGGTTTGTTTCGTTCGTGCCCGTAGCTTTGGAGATCTTTAACAACCCTGTG